TATTTGTATTTTCCTGATAGCAGAACCAACCTTCTGATTTACTCGTACTTCTTAAAAATGTTAAGTGCTTACTTCATGGACTTCAAATTCTAAAATTGAGACAAACATCATGGCTGACATTACTTACTTCACCATGGGAAATGAAAGTTTGCTGTTGAAGTATACTTTAGGGTAATAACTAACAGTAGAGCAAGTACTGACCTCTTCCCCTGCACACCTGCCCAGTGCTTTTGCAGAGAGCCTAAAGGAGACAAGCAACTGGAACAGTGACAGTATTTCAAAGAAATATTTCAGCCAGCCTGCAGCAGCTTACGTTTGGCAAGGAAAGACCTAGAAAATCCCTGTACAAAGCTGTATTTGTAGCCTTTTCAGATGAGGAGGATTCAAATTTAATACAAATAGATAAAACTATCACTAATCCAGGCTTGCATCTTTCTCCAAGGATGTCCCAAGGATGCTGGAACTGCTCTGTCTGGGCTCTGGGCACCAAAGTATCTGAGAGACAGTTTTACGGCCAATTTTGTATTGCTTTGCAATAAGTGGTGACCGCGTAAGACTTTTTCTTTTTTGGGTAACAAACACCTTTTCAGAGCATGAACATAACAACACCGACAGAAAGCATTTAAAGCAAGTTGAATTCTCTGGAAACATTATTTCCTAATTAAGCAGGACATCACCTCTTGAAAGTGTGTGTCATCTTGGCAGGTCAGTGTTTTGAATTAACCGGGTAACTGAGGAATATGGTGGAAAATAATGCAGAACATGACTTTTCCTGTAGTTTGGCATATATTGAATTGACATATCAACAACTATATGTTAAATACAAGGTGAAATATTGAATCTGAGGATCACATAAATGAAGAGTTCAACTGACAAGTCAATATATTTTGTCAGCTGAAGTGCAGAGTCAGCCCACAAAGACTATTACCTCATTAAGACAAATTGCAGTTATTGATACTGAAACTTGGACTTTGAAGTAGACTTAGACACTAATGTCATGAGAGTTTGACAGTGTTACTTGGAAAAGTACAACAAACAGTAATTTCATATATGAAGTTGGTACATTGGTTTAGAGGCTTCTCTAAAAGCAGCTCTTCTTCAGCCTTTTTAAACACACTTCTATACAGACTAATTAGATATATTCTAAAAATTAATTAGATACATTATAAAAATACACGCACAGAACCTGTGAGCTACTTCTAATGAGGATTTAAGCTCCTTCTGTTGAACTGCACACAGTACAGACTCTGTAGCATTAATGCCAGCACTGTCCACGATTTTAAAATTTCTCCTGTTGTCTTCTGTTGTAGCAGAAACGAGCCCTCTCAGAGTCTGATTGTGCTATTCCAAAAAAGGCTCTTATTAAAACCAGCAGCCTTCATTCTCTCTCGAGGCTTGATATTTATGGTCAAGCATTTCGTGCCTGCTTCTCTTGCCCTAATTCTGGTCATTTGCAACAATGCTGGTGTTAAGTGACTATGAAACCCTAGTCTCTACAGCAATCAGATTTTCAGGCCCTGTGCCCTACATCACATGGAATCATTTATTGCAGTACAATAGGAAATAAGGCCACTGCGCATAACACCATTTCTGGGGAGAGAAATGTTGCTCATTGCTGCGTAACGGTACACCCGGCTGACTATACGTTGCAAATTGTGACTTAGGAATGGACAGATTTTTGCATTTAGAATAAGCAGGACAGAGAGGGAATGACTAAAGTAAGACCACAGACAGAAAATATGCAGGGTACCTAGCTGCGTCTCAAGCACCTGGTCACATGGAAGTGCCAGCTTCCCAGATCTGGCTGATATGAGGCAGCTGAACTGGTCTTGGCAACTGGGATAAGATGGGCTTTGAAGAACCAGCAAGGCTCCATCACTGGCTAATGAGCCCAGCAAGCTGCTCAGTCCCTTCTTCCCACTTAAAAATAACAGAGGTTCAACAGCAGACGGTTAAACTGAACTACGTAAGAATTGCGGACTAGTTGGAGTGTTGCAGCTTGTTGTATTAAGTCTTTGAATTTCAGAGCTTACCTTAGAGTCACTTCCTTTGGTCTTGCTGAAGTTGTAGAGGAGAAAAAAAACAAAAAAGGCCCGAGCCCTTTTCCAAATGTAGTAAAAAGTGTTTGAATACACACTTTAATAGATTTTCTGTGGCATTTTTGTAAAATACAGATATATAATTATAGATATAATGCATATATAGCATTTACTATATCGATAAAAAGCTAGTCTTTTCACAATGACACACCAGTAAGTATTTACAATATGATTCAAATTTTACGGAAAAAAATGTTTCAAACAATATTGTGTGGTTATATGATAAGAATAATTTGAGGAAAATTAAGAGACCAGTTCTAAAAAATTCCCAGACGATAAAGTAAAAATACTCTTGCCAGGAGCACCTCCATGAACATCCATGTACAAGCTCTTTCTTTCCCCTTGTAGGAACATACATGATTTAGCTCTTCCACATTTCTACCTAGTCACAGCCCTTAAGATTACATGGATAATTATCTTTAACCTTTTTCATGTACAGATTAATTGTATCATTCTTCCCATCTAAAGATTTGTCCAACTGCAACATTTAAAAGTTTTGGCTAGAGCAGGAATTACTATACACAAGTTTCCTGCTAACTTAAACCAGTAGAGCTATGACAATTTACATAGCTGAAAATCTGACCATCTTCTACACATCTTAGAACCATTTCACAAATTCTTAGTGTGAGGTTTTTCTAACAGTGTTTTTAGCATTGCAGGTCTTTGCTAGGAGGTCTGCCTCAAAGGACACTGCAGTGCCAAATCTAGTGACAGACCTGAAGCACAGAAATGCTCTTTGTTACCCTCATATCCGAACACTACCTAGCCATTCTTCTGCAATGTACTGTCCCACAGTACAGTAGATGTAAAGATGATTGTCATATTTAATCTACTGACACAATTTACTGTGAGGCAGAAAAGTGCTATTATCACATTTTACAGACGAAAAAAAATAATAAAAATCAGATAGAGAAAGGCTGCATGAATTGCCCAAGGCCACTTGGCAAGTTTGTGAGAGCAAAGAAGCAAACCCAAATGTCCTCAGCTGCAGGCTCATCCTCTTGCCTTTCCAGCTTTGAATGAGAACTTTCTAAGTGTGTTCTTCAACATGAACAAATATGTAACTAATAGAAATAAAGCCTTCTCCAGAAACAGGCTTAAAGACTGCTGTGGTTTCTCTTCTATTCCCAAATAATAGGAAGAGAGAGTGAGAGGGCTGTTTCTGCATGCGTTATCTCCAACCCACTGAAAAAATATTAACTGCAATGAGTCTTTCTTCAAGTGGGAGCAGTAAACCCACTGTTTGCCAGAAAAGACACAGGAACTCTTAAGAAACACAACAATCCACCTTCACTGAGAAATCTAACAGAGAAAAACATAAAATCCGAAAGGCCTTTTTCTCCTTTAGTGCTGACCAGGGAAGCATTTTCAACTACATTTGTACCCACTTTATAATGCCTTTACATCACCTGCACAATAGAAAGCAGGCTTGGCATACTGTTGAAAACGACCCACTCTCTCAAGCATCAAAATCTGTTCTACAGACTCCACGGTTCGGCTTTGACGGGGGGAGGCAGCTTTCGCAGCAGGACTGATGCACACCAGGGCTGTGCAGCTGCAGACGAGGGCAGAAGTTTCACCACGACAAGTGTCTCCCCATGTCCTTATGACTCTGGAGAAGCCTCGTCAGAAGCAGGTTGTGATCCGTGTTCTTACAAACGCCAGTTAAAATCAGAGCTGGGAAGGAAGGGAACCTCTCCAATTCCAGGGTAAAAACTCATTGAGAAACAGAGCAGCAGTAACCTCATGACAGAAAGGAGTAAGAGGAAGACAAATGGCTCCCTGGAGGGAGGGACATAGGCTGTAGGTTTCACGCTGGAGCATTTAAAGCAAACTATTAAAGGAATTTAGCCTATTGTAATCCTGGTCCCAGTCTGGTCGTGTTACAGGGACGCAGCTACAACAAAGTTCTGCTTCCAGCAACACTTGTGGGCAACCTAGGTCATCTGCCTAATTGCTACAGGCGATGTATTTATGAGATACTGAGAACGGAGGACTTTTTGCCCTTATTGAAAAAAAAAAAAAAACCAAACCACAACACATACACACAAAAGGGTAAAACCAATAATGGAATTTCTCATCCTGCTTACTTCTTCTTTTTTCCTAAATCAAGATTGCATTTTCCTTTAAAAAAGCAAAATTACAAAAACAAAGATACATTAAAATATCCTACTGTCCAGTAAATGTCTTACAGGCAATATTTATGGAGGAAAAAAATCCACCAAGCCCTTCCTTTGACAAAAATGAAGTACCCCAAAGTTCAGTCTGTACAAAGGAATGCCAGTTCTTCTGTTGTTGGTTTAAATTACTCCTATCACCACAATTTGAATATGCATTATTTGTCTTCAAATACCTAAAGATAAATCTAGACTAAAGCTGAAAAAAAAAAATCCTAGTAAGAATGCTGTGCCGTTGATAAGCTAAAAACAGCATATCATGAGAAGGCAAACCAATCTTCCCGTTTACTTTGTAAATAATCCACTGGCTAAACTTCTATTTTAGGCTGGATGCTTGATGCTTAACACTTAAAAGTCCAAGTACCCTTCATATCCCTTATAACAGAGAAAAAACCTTGTAAAATGCCTTTGGTGCATCAGCTTATCATTGTATGAATGTTATAAAGAAACTGACTAGTCCTATAGGAAATGTAAGTGGGCTTGTTTGTGTTGTTTAATACCCCAAGTGTAATTTCATTCTTTAAAGGGGCTAGAACAGAGGAAGGGGAAAGGGGAGGAAGTCTTACTTAATTTGTTGCATATGTCCCAACGTGTTATACAACTAAGTGTATTATACCAGAAAACTAAAGCAGTCTGTGCTGCAACAAACTCTGTGTAACTCGAAATAGGAGAATAATCTGGCCACAAGCAAGTCAAAAATTCAGTGAAACTTCCTCTCATATTATATATACACACACACTTTACAAGCTACATCGAGTGTCCTTTCATATTCCAAAAGAAATACATTGTAGACACCAAACATACTGTACTTTTACTTAAAGGCTTCATCAAACCATATGTGCAGACACTTGAGAAGATGAGAGTGTTAAGCTTCCTAGGGTCCTAGAGTCAAAGAAATTCTGCTGCCCCCCACTGCTAAGTAAGTGCACTCCTTCCACGGGGGGCAACATCTGCCGATCTGTCATGGTTCCACTTGGCGAGGACCCCAAGAAACTTCCTTGGGAAGAAACAATTTTCTCAGGACTGGCAGCCAGTTTAGGGGATGTGGAAAAGTTATATCCATAGAGCGCACAGGGACTGTGCAGTCTAAACGTGTTGTAGGAGCCTTGGTGGGTTTGATTAGTGGTAAAGGCATTGCTGGATGGGGATGGCATGATGTACTGGAGCTGCGGAGACATCCCTGAAATCTGCATAGATAAGCCAGTCTGCGGGCAGCTGAATGCATCCCCGTCATTGCCACTCATGGACATATTCACAGTTGTGCTACTCGACACACCGACATAGGAGGGAGTCCTCGGGGGTGCAAACGTCTCACTGGTTTGGTTTGTGAGCCGGTTGTAAGTTTCAGCCAAAGAAGTGCTGTATCTGTTCAGGGTCAAGCCTGAGCGGGCACAAGCTGTGTAGTCAGCTGGAGCAAGGCTACAGAGCTGGCTAGTGTTGGGAGTGAGGTGGAAGGCTGGAGATGAGCAAGGGGAGCCTGGTAAAAGGTGAGGGTGGGTAGATGGCACTCCACTGCCAGATCCCTGGAGTAAAGTAGAGGAACCTGCATTTCCTGCAAGAGAACATGACAGTGTAAGAAGCATGTTGAGAAAGGTTCACTTCCTAGGTGACAGATCAAGACCTTTGTCTTTTATAATAACCCCTGTCATGAAACACGACGCAAATTCATTCAAAAAATGACATGTACAAACATACGCAGGAGTGTGTGTGCGTGTGTGGCACATGCGTATTTTTAAAGAAATAACCTGTCCAAGAAAGAGAACATCAGTTAAGCTTTTGCAACCATCACTCAACACTTAACGCTCCTGTCCAAAAGGTTAACTACTCTTTATATGACATGGGAAGCAAGCTGCTTGGCAGCTAAGATGTAGGGTGAGTACCACATCACAGGAAGCCTTCTTCACGATTACGAATTTTTTATCATCAATGCTGTTGCTACACCCCAGAGTGTGTTTCAAGCACTCTGACTCAACTCACTGTCAGAGCACCAGCTAAGGAACCGGCTCCTTAGCTCAAACGATAAGAGGCTCCCACATTTCAACAGCTTCACGAAAGTTCACAACTTCAGAACAAAAAACTTGAGAACAAAACTTCAGAACAACTGTGGGAAAGTGTAGGCTGAGCACTGTGCTTTGTTTCTTGAACAGGTAGGTGGAGGTTTAGGTTTGCAACAAACTGGTCACAAACTGTTCATTTACTGATATCAGAACTTTTACATGACAAACACCAGTGCTGAATGGTCCTGAAAATGCACTGCTTCCTACAGGCGAAGCCTTTTCTCAGGACTGAAAGTTTCCTAGTGGTAAGAAACACTTCCTTTCCTTAGATATTATATCTCCCCGAAAAATGAGCGTAGAAAAACCAATTTGGGCCTTTCACAGTCTCCCAGGTGGAAGGCACTTAACACGGAAGACTCTCCTGTCCGCGAATCACATTAACTACCAAACAGCTTGATGCTGCAAAGAGATGCATGCTGTCAATAAGTTAACAGGTTTTCATGATAGGTGTACTAGTAAAAAGCAAAATACACTATCAGTGAACTCTGCCTGTTGCTTCTTGCTCTGTTGACAGGCCACAACAGGCACAAAGCACCATCAGACCCTGCCACATTCCAGAAACCCTACTCTAAGGCATACTTATTTTTCTTCCAATCTATGTCAATGCCTCTGCTATCCAAACGTGGGCATTTCCAGCACTAACGACCAGGACAAATTTCTAATGAGGTCTTCCAGCAAGTCTCTAAACCACCCAGCTGGCCAAGATACAATGGACTAAAGATTTTCCAAGGATCCCAGTTCCCTTTCTGTGAACATCAACAGTAACTTTAACAAGCTCCTTAACCTGCAACAGCAGAAAAGGATGCAGGAGGTTCACAGCAGCAGTTCTCCTGCTCTCAAAGTGCTGCTACATCCAAACAGGGCAATATAGCTGGCCTGTCTCCTAGACGTTTTCACTTCAGAGTGAGCTGCCTTCCAGTCTTACACAGTCTGACAAAGTATTTCAGGTCTGATGCTGGCTTCTCATTACAGGCCTCTTTTACGAGGACAGTCCCGCCACCCACGTCCTCTGCCCAAAAACTCTGCCAACCCTCATCCAACAGATCTGTGACTTGGCACAAAAAACTTCTTTTTAATTGCACACATCAGGCACGGATGCTCAAGATTTCTCAAAGGAGTGGAATACGGAAAAGTTCACGGAAGTGATTTCTGTGCCATTCTGTATTTTCTGGGTTTGTGCTCTGAAGACGCTCAACGGCTTTGGAATACATCAGCAAGAAGGCAGGAAGGATGTTTGTAAATTCGGTAGCAGGAAATGTGAACAATCAAGAGCAATATGTGTGATTTAGCTGGGAGGTTTTCTATATGCATTGGTGTACCCTGGAAACAAAGTAATGTGCGAAAGAGTAGAGAAGCTTCCCTCCCTGTCCAAACAGGCCATTTAAACGCCCCTTTCTCCCCCACAGCACCACCTCTAGGATGGAGAAAGTGGGAGCTAAGAGGCTATGGACTGGGCAGCAGGAAAAAACAAAATGTAGAGGAGGTCCATTTTTTTCAAGCTCTGGGATGAAGATAAAGTTTGTTGGGACTTTTACTGAACAATTTTTAGGTCTTTAAGAACCAAGGAGGCTTTCCAAGGAGGAAACCCAATTAAGTTTGCCACTATCTATTCATTGCTGAGAGGACATCTCTTCTCCCATTCCTTTTTCTTCTCTTAAACACACAAGTAATTCCTATATTGGACTCTGGATGTGTACAGTGGAAGTCATCTATAAATGAACTCTGCCTTGTGTATCTAGTCAGAGCATAACATTAAGGAAGAGGCTATTTCATCCTTAAATAACTGTCATCTTCCACATGTGATCTGATTTACCTTTACGACCTTACATATTTACTGCCACAGTGGTGAAGCCAGCATTAGTTTTCCAACTGAGAATAGCTCAGATGGGAGGTGATGGCCTGCACTGAGGTTGGCTGGATGCCTTTTCTCTGCAAGTGACACACCCATCTAGGTTTTTGTAAAGGATGGGCAAAGCTTTATCTTCATGCATATTTGTTTCAAAAGAACATGAAGAAGGCAGTTACCTTGTTTGGGTATCCCAGGTATATCTTCGAATGTAAGTGTCCTCAGTGAAGGTCTCCAGAAGGCGTAAGACTCCACCAGAGCTTCCAGTCCCATTCTATTTAGAACAAAAACATCACAGTGTCATGAAGGAAAGCTGTATTTTACCTCACAAACACATAAAAATTAATAACATTTCAGGATTATTTTAGGTTTCATTATGAATAATGTACCTCAAAGGTTTCATTTTGCTGGTTTTTTTTTTGTTTTTTTTTTTTGGCTGCTGGACCTCAAAGGCTTGTTAAGTGTCAGCATCAGGCACACACCAAACACAAGCGCTTGCCTTTGAGCAGCAGTACCCTGTAAACTCAAATTATGCAAACAGCCCAATCTGAAGCTACCAACGTGTTCTTCTGATAACTGCTGCTTCCCCACTGCATTTCCAGCAGGATCCCAAATGTATTTCAGGAAACAGTTATAAAGTATTTATTAGCTGAACCTGGACTAAAAAGATAGCCTTCATTTTCTGCAGCAATGGTGAATTTTCAATTCTAGTTAAAGTGGAGATAAAAGCCACCTCCTGGAGGAGTGTAGCCAAGGCGATAATTTATACAAGATGCCTTTGAACAATTTCCACATTTTATCACCACCCTAATTTACGCTATCAAATGGCCAAGTTTATTTAACAAAACAGTTGTGTTTTTCCTGAAGTATTTAAAGGGACAAATTCTGGTCCTTTCCTGAGTAAAAGTTTTTATAGGGTCAAACTTAAGGCCTAACTGAAGAATGAAACTATTCTCAGCACATAAATTCTGTTGCACTTTGCGAATGCACAGGGAATGCTTTTAAAAGGTGAAGCTACTGATTTCTGTAAAACAGCCTGTGGGACTGAACGGGAATTACCTGAAAGGGAATATTTTTAATTAAACAGAATTATTGCATGCAGTAGTGCAGAATAAGATAGCTGCAATAATTAAAGCAACATTGAAAAGTTGGATATGGTGGTACCATAGTATTTTTTTTTACACTTCTGTTGGAGATGAAAATGCCTAGGTGATAAGTATACCAGCTAGAAAAACAAAGATAACCGAATCTTAACAGTTAATTTCAATGTTCAGCAACAGAGCAAAATAGTAACCAACTGTGTAGACCAGTAATTTAAATCAAAAAAGGAAATTTTTCTCAACAATTAAAAATCTGAGCTGCATTCCCAAACACATTTATTCAGTACCATAGAGCCTATCAAAGAAAACAGCAACACTGACTTCAGTAAACCAATGTCCATTTGCAATGGACAAGTTTGCACAGTACTTCTGTAACAACTGTAAAGCATTCAGACCTCACCTAAAGCCAGCTCCGAAACTTTTATACAGAGGCTGGCCCTTCCTACAGGACTGGCCTCCTAATCCATTTCCATAAACTATACCTGTCCTTCAATTAAAATATCCTGCTTTGTTTTCTAATGTCCAAACCATATTTATTCCTAGCAGCCAAACAAAAAAAAACCTCTCTGGATGTCCCCAGTCCTACACCTGGGTTTGCATGGCTGCAGATGCAGAACCCTTACTGAGCCTACATTGTCCTCGGGTGATACCAGGGCTGTCCTGTCACCTTCAAAACGGGTTTCTGAACAACTTTCCTCTCCGTTTTCAAGAGCATCTTCTTTTGTTTCATAGAACATTATGGAAGAAATTCTAACTCCACTTAAACTCAGAAATTTCAGAGAAGTCAGGGTTTCACACAAAATGTTAGAGAGCAACAAATGCAGATCGCAAATGGCAAAGATACTTCCAGTGGGTTCCTGTAAATCTGTGCAACTACCCCACCTCTTCTGTATCTGTTCACCTTCCAAAAACTACTCTGGTTTGCTGTCCAGTCTCAGCATTTATGTAACTCAGGTGCAAGCACATAACAGGCTTTAAAGTTGCAGCCTCTGCTAGAAGAGAAGCTCAACAGAGCAGCTACCAGAAGATACTCTCTGAGCATTCCTACCAGCACAGATTCTGCTCCCTTCTCTGCAAGGCTAGGTCATAAATATAGCGGCTGTAGACCCCAAACGCAATGTGCTCACTGGAACAGACGTATAATATGCACCACAATTAAATGCTGCTTTTTTTAGCTGAAATAGTTTAACAGACAATTCATAACAGGCTTGAGTATTTTGCAGTAAAGTCTTTGGATAAAATACCTCCTGGGTACTGGCAGCAGGGACTAGCCCCACGTCTCCACTTTGCACTACTCAGATTCCCCATTGCTATTTTGAAAGATTCATGGATCAAGAGAGAACAAGCAATTAATCAGTCCAACTGCAACAGACAAGGTGGAAACCAGGCTCATTTCAAGGTTATCTATAGCCTAGTAGGAAAGGCATTCACCTAGGAAGTGGATTTAAAACTCCTTCAGCTAAAGAGACACTTGAACACAGGTCTCCTACCCCCTAGGCAAGTGTACTAAACATAGGTTACTGCACGAGGCAACTTACGTTTCTCCTCCTTTAAGAGAAAACAACAAGCCATTCATCCATACTAAATGCTACTCACATGCAAGAGAACCTAGGCTTACAGTTTTACACTGCTATCTGCAATTTGTGTCTCCAGCCAGGAGAAAGAGGAGACTTCAGGAGCAGCCTGAAATCACAGACCTGAGTATGCATTAATTCCATCTGCAGCCTTCACGGTATGCCACCGCTTCCACAGAAAGGAAACTCAAGTACATGAGTCAAGCTGAGTGCCAACCCGGTCTTGACCTAGATGGTCAGAGGAGTCTGCACAGGAGCCCACCACAGAGAACATTACTGGGAAACCAAAGTGCTCCCTTAAGGAGTCCTCAGACTAAATTGTCTGTAAATAGAGGTATTCCCCTCGCCCGCCTCCAGCGGTAACAAGCCCTCCTCTTTCCCCAACACCTACCTGTTACGTCCCGAATCTCTAAACCCTTTGGCAAATGGATTTCTATCAATCTTCAGACGAGTTATCTGTGAATATGATTAGAGAAATTATTACCTGCAAATTCAGCTAAGTAACACACAAAACTAATCTCCTGGCAGAATTAAGACAATAGTGGAGTAGAAACATCTTCACATTTGCATGCTTTGAGATGGTTGTCCCGAACCACAGCAAAATAAGGGCCAGCCTTCTGATCATCCTTTCTTCAAATCCCCAGAGAAGCTAACAGGTATTTAATGCTACCAAACGGCAGGCTGGAATTCTTGAGAAAAATCTTCTGGTAAATGTCATTCTTCACCTAACAGAGTACACTGCCTAACTGCAATAAAATTTAAATTAAATTTTATTTTTATAAGGGTCAAGAAGGAAATGTGAAAAGATAGATTATCTCTAGGCTATTATCCTCCATAAAAACGAGCAGAACGCCTCCAAAATACTTGTAATTTATTTAAATAAATGGGACAGGCACCAAATACTTATATTTCAGTATTTACATGGCTCTCCTAACTCTTCTCATAAAGATAGCAAGGCATATATAATTCCCAAAAATATAGCTGCAACAACTTGCATGGAGTTAATAAAATGTCACAACACTAACTATGGTGCCACTATGTATGTTAACATTTAAACAAGTGGTAATAAGAGACAAACACTCGAGTCATGCAACCTGCAGTTTACTTTTGACTTTGAAACTGTGTGGACCCAGATAAATTGCAGTTAATAATATACACTGAATGCAGTTAATTAAAACAACTACAACTTTCTTCAGACCTCAGCTTCTCTGTTAAGGTCCTAGGAGTTTTGAAATCAGTGGAGTCAGGAAAAAAAGTGCTTTAAAAATTCTATCCAGACATGTACCTACACTTAAAGGTACAAAAATGCCTTTAAAAATTAGACTGCTCTCTGCCTTGTACTTCAATGCTGTATTTACAATTAAGACACCACTTGAACTATGCTAATTAGACTGTGTGATCTCCATAAGAATTACTTTTTACACACAGCATCTAGCCCACATAGCCTGAAGTCTCAGCTATAGCCTCCAGGCGCTGCTGCAATACTGTCAGTGAAAGCTACTTGTAATACAAAAAGGGGTTGGTTTAGACAGTGCTTTTTAATAAGGGGCATAATAAAAGTATCCTCTTGCCTTCTGTCTCTTACTTCCCTGGTTCCTGTGAAAAGCCTGTAAAGTGCTAAGCAGAAAGCCCAAGTTACCTGTTGATTTTGGTACGCTGTGACAGTAGTGAAAACGGTCTCTGGAAAGGAGAAGGCTTTCACCCCTTCTCCTGAAGGGATAGGCTTGACAGGGGACAGATCATCTCCACAGTCTTTTCGGATGACGTGGACACGAGGCTGATATTTATGCATCGAGTGAAGGATAATCTATGCAGTCATGAAAGGAGAAAGATAACATTTATTAGAAAGGACACCCTGCTGTTTCAGGACTAATAGCTTTTTGGAACAGATTATGGTATGTGTTTACCATGCCACTTACTGGAAATCAAATATTTTCTTTAACCTCTGAAGGTTCTTATTACAGTAGTCTAATCCCTGGGCATTTATGTTATTGCCAACCCTAAGCATTTAAAAATTACGACTCAGGAGCTCCAAATTGAGAGACAGGCTAAATTGAGACTGGCTCAGAACCAACTCTCCCCCCCCCCAAAAAAAAAAAAAAAAAAAAAAAAACAAAAAAAAAACCAAAAAAAAAAAAAAAAACAACAACAACAACAAAAAAAACAAAACCCTCAGGAACGAAATCCTGGTCCCATGGGAATTAGGAAAGTTTTGACACTTTTTTCCACTGGAGCCTGGATTTGATCTAACAAGATTAACAGCAGCAGCATTTGCCTTTTGTTTTTGGAACCTTCAGGATATGCTTGGAGCAATTTTTTCCTGACATTCCGAAGGCTGGAAGCATATCTTATTTTGAACGCAAGCTGAGGCTCTCATCCTCTGAAGGAGCAGAAACCAATGTAACTTGATGATCTTTAAGGTCCTTTCCAACCCTAACTATTCTATGATTCTATGATACCAAAATCCAGAACCCTAAAGTGTTAATAACCCAAGATGTATAATACATATAAATAACATCAATGTACAAACCCCCCCCAGCATACAAAAGCTCATTTAAGAACAAAGGATAAACAAGAAGTATATGAACTTACAATGCATAAATTTAAATACAAAAATACCTCTTGGTATTGCTCCCAAAGCTTAGAGGAGATTTAAAATACAGGATTTTCCCTCTATTTCACTCCGCTTCAGCTAACCACTACTAAAATAGAAGACTTCAAGAAAAAAAAAATAATTGGAAGCTCAACTATTATTGTTGGAAGGCCTAAGAAATTAGTAACTCGATAAATAAATAGTCTTACGGCTATTAGCTTGTGGAACCCCTAATCAACATTCATCAAGGGAAGCTTTTTAATTTCCTGCTCCTTGAGTAGCCTCACAATGTGCATGTGCTCAGGCTCTCAGAGCCCCTACGCCAGACAGCATGGAAGTTCATTCATCCAAATGACACAGAGGACATTACATTCATTTGGATAAAGTCGAGTTTGGCTAGTTTAACACACTCGGTCCTGGCCAGACGACACAACCCCCTTTTGGATAAGCCAAGTTTCTGGATAATCAGGGGTTTTATTAGCCTGTAAGTAAGTTTTTGACAATGACATCACAGGCTCCAATTAATTTGCTCAGGGAGTGCCCTACATATGTTCTCGTATGAAGCCTTTACCTGGTTTCTGAAATCTTGTACAGCACATGATTTTTATCGTGCAAATGTGTATTCTCTTTTACAACACTCCTTTCAGTTCTCCGCTGGCAAAGATCTACAAAATGAAAATGTAGAGAGGACACCACATTCCTGACCCTGTTTTCCTGTGAACACCCAGTGATACCAAGGGAGGTACTGGTGCAACAGAAAATAAAATTATCAAGAAAAACTCTATTCCGCTGTTCAAACTCATCCCCTGCCATTTTCCTGTGTGCCACTGAGCGTGCCATGTTCTGCTCCACCCTGATTCCTTCACCCCATCAGCTCTGCAGTGCAATCGACCGCTTGCCTACACGGCGGAGCTGGCTGTACACGATAATAACTCAGGCAGCCATGAACAGCTCTGCTCATGTATCAGAACGAGCAGTCACCACAGCACAGAGATGACCACCTCCCACTCCTTATCTAGGTGTCCATTACAGCTAAACCGATCCTTGTCATCTCTTGAGAGCAACCTGGTTTGGCTCTGGGCGATACTGGAATTTCCTGCACCGACACACCGTCAGATGATTAGCAAATCCATAGCAAGATTTTTTTTTTTTCTTGATTTTGTACTGTCCCCGGTACAATGGGATCTTTGTTAACAATGCAGACTCTGAATTCTAAATAAATAACTGCAGAGCCCTGGTGAATTAAAGCGCAACACTATGTAAATAGGACATAAAAGGAGAGGGAGATGCAATACGCATTCCAAAAACCCTTTAGCTCTATTATTCTAACTATCTATTATTATCTATTTAGCTCTATTATTCTAACTGTGAAGAAAAAGCTAAGGAAAAGGAGATTCCAGCTTTTCATTTTGCATTACTTGCACATTTAACAGCACAAATGGGATCTAACTGTTTATCTGCAGAAGCAGCAACTTTCGCTTCGTACCCTTAAAAGCCAACAATAAAAGCCCCAACCAGAACAAACCCATCAAACACCTAACACGAACCAGCATTACTTTTAATTCACAGTTGAAGAGCTTGCCTCTCTCTACAAATCCCTCACAGGGCACGATCAAAACACTTGGTGAGGGAATAAACCTCACCTGCTGAATGTAAAATTACACTTTGACCACTGCAGCTGTCAAGACATCGTTACTGGATGGAAGATATTGCAGGTAGGCAGCAGGGCAAAGCAACAGCCTGGCAGAGCGAAGGCGGCCAAGGCACCTGCAGGCACACAAAGCTGGCATTACCTTCAGGATTACCTTCTCAACAGGGTTTTTGAGAGGTGCTGCTGTGATGAGGCGTCAGTGGGGACCCTGAGCTTGGGTACCAATACGGACCACACATCACAGCCAGCACAAGCAAGAGCCCGATTGTTTTTCATGGTGGAGATGCCAATCCTCTGGTAGCTCAGCGGTAGACAGGTTACCCAGCCACCTCCCCACCAATGGCGTGCTCCTCGCCTTGATGCTGTTTTCACCAAAAATCCTCCTTTATCCTCCCTGCAAAGCCCAAGCTTTCTGCAGTCAGGGATGTGTGTGAAGCTGAGGAGGATGGATTCCCGCTTTACAAAGACAAAAACTGCAAGTGTAAATGCTGATGTTTCCCAGCTTTTCATTGTGACAAGAACATATGACTATGCATTGACTCTAAGCAGAGCTCACTACTTGGAGCCAAGCCTGGGCAGAGCAACAGTCTGCCTCTGCTTCCAGCCTCACCCCTCTTCTAAATGGGGGGAAAAGAAAAAAAAAAAAAACCACCAAGAAACAATTAACACACTAACAACCTCATTTTCACTAAAAGTTAAAAGATGTTCCTCTGCATCAAAAAATACACAGTTGAAAAGCATGGAAAATAGCATCAAAAATATTGACTTTTCCCCTCTACTGAAATTCAGATTAAAAACTGCATCAAAATAGAAAAATTAGCCAGCTCTAACCAGCCAGAGGCAGAAACTGCTTTTACAATGCAGCACTTACTGCAGAGATGAGAGATGGATGAGAGACATTAACAAAGAGTGCCCAGACCACACACTTCTCAGTGTCAACTGCAAAATGTAGGTTCACTGTTCCTTACCATCACAACGCAGAGGAAAGATGCAAATGCCACAGTACGTGTCTTAATGATGCCATCGGCCCTTAACACCTCTATAAACCCATAACCTTTCTGAAGTAGGGAATTCACCTTGGGACTCCTTTTTGAGATCAAAAATACACAAGGAAAACACATCCTGACGAATTTTGCGTGATCTCCTCAGCCTGCAAGTTGAACCTATGTATCAGAGAGCGTCCTACATGCAGACGTACTTCAACATCTCTCCACAGAACGCTATAAAATTACGTCGTCACAAAATCCCACTCTAAACAGCGACAAAAATATCAGCAGGCAGCAAGGAGCCTGGAAAGCATTTGAGCAGCGAAGCAAGATGTCTTAGAGATGGCTGATCTCCTTTCACAAGAAGCTAATCCCAGGCCAAGGCAACGCCAGGGGAGCCGGATGCCATGAGCACTACCCCAATACAAACCCTGCACAGGAACACCACCTTAGCGTCTGTCTGCCAATACTGTCGCCATTCCCGTGGATGTGGGTCGCTTCTCTCACTGATTCTGAGCTAATACTCTGGAAGAGGTGAAAGGGCTCTGGGTTGATCTCGTGGAAGCTCAACACCTGCAAGATCAAAACCTAGCCCTAGGATTTTAACTAAAAAAAACTCTGCAAAGGCTGACACCTCTGAGAAGCACGGGAAGAAAGAAGGAACAATTTCACCGAGGATTAAAGCCCCAGAACCAGACAGCGTGGAAAGCACACCCAAAGAACAACAGGTAAAGCCCAACGCTGTTCGAACTACTGGGTAGCAGAGTGTAGAGACCCCACTGAGGTTCCTCCGAGCCACTCTGCCTAAGCAGGAGGGGAAAAAAAAACCAACTTTCAAATAATCTAAAATATACCCCATCTCACATACCCGAGTGGGAGAGTCAGAACACTTGATATAAAAATAAATATTTGAGGGACAGTACAGACTTGACCCCTAGCTCTTCTAATCCCCCATCCCTCCCCTGGTACCCTCTGGAGAAGAATGGTTTCTTCCTGCCTATGAGAAACAATTGGTTTTTATATTCATCACAAAATATGATTATTCGTTTTCCATTATTGCTGGAGGCATTCAGAGGCTACATAGCTTTTTCAATACAGCATTCCACACTACCATAGCTTTAAAAGAAAAAATGTACCCACTGGAAGAGACACTTTTCTGCTTTCTGCTTTTGCCTTTTCTGGTAATTATGAATGACATGTTTGCAATTTCCCAGATTTGAGAAATATGAAATCATTTTACAGTCATCTTTCTTTTGTCCTTTTATTTTAATACTTACATTTCCCTTTTGGAGAGGAGGGGTGCTGCCGTAGCTCTGAATCAGTTCAATGTGTCTCAAATCACTGTACTAGGGCTTTGCTTCACTAGTTTCCAAATCGAAACACTTAAGTAAAGACCAGAAAATTTATATCCTCCCCCCCCTCCATTACGAATAAGGGAGTGTTGTGTACACTATACAGGATTCAGTTCAGAATAAAAACAAAGCTAAGATCTGGGATGGAAAAATACAGCAATACAATTCACGTCATAGCTGAGATTTTATCGCAGGGCAGTTTGTGACTGCAAGTGCATGGGCACACCACGGTACCCACGTATCGCCTCTCTGCAACGAGTCAGTAGAAAAGCCAGCCGGCCGGCTCTCCGTTGGAAAAGTGACGTTTTACCCATTCGCATCCGCTTCACTTCTTAAAGACCTTACCATAGACTCAGGACTCAGAGAAAGCAACTCCCACACAAGAAGAGTCACAAATACACAAACGCTGGGGAAACTAAGGGAACCACCTGCGCTAGCCTGAGCTCAAACACACGCTGCCAAATGAGACCCCGTAACTGTAATTCTGAAAATAAGCAATGCAAAATGGGTTTTTTTATAATCCTAAACAAAAGCACTGCTAACTCAAGAGAATCAATACACCCACGTTCTTTTTAAGGAAGAGTGAGATAAAATTATGAACAGTATTTTACAGGAGGGAGGCTTTTTATCCTTGTTATCACATTCACTAGCTCCATCCAGCCAGTCTCCTGTATTCCTGCCTCTGTAACATAAAAGCTGTATCTCCTGCACAATTTCACCAGAGTCTCATGTTAATCTCCTTTGCAAACACAAATGGGAAAAAAAATCTCATACATCAACCTGGGCTATGTATTGACAAAATACCTGGCTTCATGTCACAGAGTTACAACTACACCGAAAGATTCACGTAGTATCTTTGTACTCTGTGCCAGGTATGTTTTCTTTCACTCCTTTCCATGAAGGAGAAAGCAACCTGGTTAATAAATCAGGCTACACTAAGGACAGTGGAATCCACATCCTGCCTCAAAACCTGCCTCCAACATCTTAAAACTCTTCTGCTTGCAACTCGATGCTCCTTCTGCAGTGAAGCCAACATTTGCCATTGATTACAGGATTTTGCAAAATTAAAGACTTCACCCTGACTAAAAACAATTCTCATTTTTTAATTATTTCCTAAGGTGTCAAGTAAAACTACTTTAGGGATTGCTGGAAAGATACTGGCTTACATCTGTCATGTTTCAACAGTTTTGAAGAGAAAAGGAAATACTAACATAACACATTTTGTCACATTAGATAATGTCATAACTAAACAATTTAGAACTTGCAAACAGAACACTCATACTGCATACGTCTTCGCCAGTTTTTTCAGAAGTAATGAGCCTCAGCTGTGAAAGGGTCTTGCTTCATAAGGTATGTAATAAATCATTATCGGAGCGAACCCAGCTCCCATGTTGTTCGCTTTTGACTGCAATTATTAACACCTCATGGGATTTCACACAAATGTTCAGGTTAAGAAAATAGTCAAGTGTATTTTTATTCACATGAAGTTATTACACACTATTAATGTTTCTTCTAGCCACTTGTGAATTTTAGCGCCCTTTTTGATCGGAGCAGAAGCTGCGAGTAACACACTCTGTGGGAAAACATGAGAGCAATTCTGCCCCTTCATATTAGGCAATTTAGCCTTGTAAAGCCTTACTTTGCAGAAGGAGTTCTGGTTTTGAGGGGGGAGTAAAACAGCAGGCTCTAATAAGCAGTTAATTATGGGAGTAGAAAGTTAAGCAGATTTTAGATCTGGATGGTAAAGCTCCAAAACAGCTTTGAAAAGTCAAGCCTATTTCTGGCACCCTGAAGCTGTACGTCAGTCCTTCGGGGCTGAGCAATGTGCCTACACATAACACTGCAGAAGAGCAAGTACTCACATGCCCTTGATCATCCAGCTCATTATTGGTAAGCTTCAGTTTGTCGAAGCTGATCACTTGTCTCATCCATGTCTCCCCGGAGGCGGGTGAATCCGGGTGAATATAAACACGAGGCGGTACCGGGGAGTCAGCATTACCAGCCACCATCCACTTGGAGCTGTGATAAACATACCTATAAAAAGAAAACAAATACCTATAACCACAAAACCCAAAATAATTTGTCAGACCCATTCAGTATTAATAAATTCGGGCCCATATATACAGCAAGAACCCACCAATCAAGAAAACATGAAAGGACAATTAAAAAAAAGGTTGCTTTTTTTTGTTTCAAAACATACTTCTGGTATCTGCAAAAGTAAAGTTAAAAACCACGCTCTGATCTGACCTTAGTCTTCTTAAAATCAGTAACAGGCTTAAGGCTAGGCTCCATGCTGAGCTTTAAGCCAGTTGTCAGCTCATTGATACAGCTCTGCTCTGAACAGGCACCAGAAAAGAGGGAAGAATCTAGTCCTTCATTTATCAAATCAAGTAGTAATTCCATATTTGGGAGATTTAACATGTTGAGTGTAATATAAGAGTCTATAAATACAGCTATTGAAGGGAAAGAACATTATGATTGGGAAAAATAATGAAACTATGTCAAACTATGCTCTTGCTATTTCTGCAAGCCCATATTAATTTTCTTGAATAGTTTTGCAGAAAGGCTTACAAATGAAAAAACACAGCCCATATTTCATTTGATCGGTCGACGCTGACAAAGTCATTTTCTAATAAAAATAGTGCCTGCTTTGGTAGAAAATTTATTTTGAAGGCAGGCACTTCACAGGGCAATTTAAAAAGTGCTAATTAAAAACTTTGAGGTATTTTTTTCAAGTACAGTAAAATTCCAGTAATTCAGCTATATTTTTTAATAGAAACAAGAAGGGCTTTATCAAATCATTTGTTTGTACAATTCAGTTCCTTATTAGAAAAAGACAAACAACATAACTGGAAATTAAAACAAAATGATCCAATACATGCATCGCTCCGTACAATTCATATCGAGTTGTAAAACTAAGATCTAGAATGGTTGTGAAAATCTCTCCTGGAGAAAATTCTCAACCGCAGATCACACAGTCAACTGTTGTAACCTTTTTCATTTATTTTATATTTGTTGGTTCACACTAAGTAACATGCTTTCCTGACAAAAGTAAATAAAGTCATAAAAACACATAAAATATTTTGAGTGACAGCTTCCACTTCCAAATATTTACAAGGTCAAATTTTGCTAGAAATCTAGACCTAGATGTCATTTTCTTCACTTCCATTTAGTTTTGCCATCTGCTATGACAGCTAAAGACTAGGCTCCATATGTGACTGCGGTTGCACCTTTCACATCTAAAGATCTGCAAGACTGTAAAGCCACATGAACAACCAAAGTTAAAATAACTGTCAGCAATTAAAAGAAATAAAATAGATTGCACAGCAAAGACTGAACAGAGGAATAAAGCAAAACATGTAAAACATTAATATTTAGCAGGAAGGTAAAAGTTGTGGTACTAATACATGATTATGGAAATTTAGGTTTGCCAATTAAGAAAATATTTTTGTCAAATTACTTCAGTTATCTGGCCACCATGTATCACACTGTGCAGACAGTGCAGCTCAGTATGACTGTATTCACTTAAAATGAAAGGAGGCTTTAACAACTCATATGCAATATACCTGGCTTTAATTTTTAATATTAATATTTTTATTCAGTTTGGAATAACTACCTCGCTTTTGCTATGAATTAAGGAATTGCTCAGACCTTCCAGGACTGATATGCTTAGATTGCTAATTAAATTCACACACACAACACAAAGCAAGCAAAAGGCTTTCATTTCATTTTTTTCTCTATGGTACAGTCAGAAAAGCCTCCCCTAACTGTATGTACTGGGCATTCTCAGCACTGCTATCTGCACCTTGTTGAACAACACAAAATCTTAAATGTTGCTAGGAAACGTCTTATATACTGCATGAGAAAAGGACAAAATTGCAGTCAACGAGGTAAAGACACACAAAAAACACAGGGCAGAGTTTGCTTAGGAAAGGAGGCAGCATTC